CTTTCTATCATTACTGAAACAGCAGAAGCTAATTGGGAAACCATATTTTTCCTTAAAAATGTTAAAATCATAAAAAATTTCATTTCCTTTGCAAGTATATATAGGTCACAAGATTATAATGTACAACATTTAAAATATATCTACTAATAATTTTGTTTTTTCCTCACATTGGTAGAATAGAATGTCTTTCTCTTTGTGTTTTGAAAAATGTGTGAAGGTAATTCGAAAACTGTCGCCTTTCTCTGGCACTGAGCAATCTAACTAGTACCAGATTTTCTCTTTGACATCTTTTTCTTTATCAATGGTTGATATTTACACACTTTCTTTCCTTTTAATTTATAGCTCCTCCACAGTTTGTGGTTAGGCCAAGAGATCAGATTGTTGCTCAAGGTCGAACAGTGACATTCCCCTGTGAAACTAAAGGAAATCCACAGCCAGCTGTTTTTTGGCAGAAGGAAGGCAGCCAGGTGAGTGTGAGTCTCGACTGCTTTTCTGAAATTTTTGAACTTCCCCTGTCTCTGGTGCTCTTCAAAGCTTGCCTTTCCTCTCTCATTATCAGTGTTGAATATATTTTATTTCTTAATAAAAACACAATTAATTCTAAAGTAAATGTGAATCAGATATTCGAGTATAGCATTCATTTGCTAGTGTTAATTTTAAAAATTCTGTATCTTACCTAGACTAGATACAAAGCAGTGTAACAAGATTATTTTAAAAATTCCAGCCAAAACCTCTGTAGCTATTTAAAATCTCTGATGATAAAGACGATCATTTTATTTCCTTGTATTGAGTTATGTGGTATGGTAAAGTGAGTTAGTACATACAAAGTGCTTAGAACAATGCCTGTCACATGGAAAACATGAAAAAAATATTCCTGTTATTCATCGACCTATAGTCTCATTTCAATCCTCTCCTTTAGATAGAGAGCATAAATGACTTTTCTTATCATTAGTTTAAGTATACTTCCATTTAAGATTAGAACAAATATTTCCCCCCTTTCTTCCTTCTGGATTCATTCATAGTGGGGTTAGACAGGAAATAATACCTGATATATTAGAAGGAACTAATACCTGCCTTGTCTTTGCTGTGCCCTTGTTTGTCCTCCTCAGGGCCCTCTCTGGGTAGCATGACCTCTCAGAGTATCTGTGAAAAGTTCCCTGAGTATCTTATTTTCTTGTTTAGAACTTGGTCCAAACTTGGACAAGTGCTCGGCTTCCAGATTCAGAGGCAATGAGTGAAATTTCCCACTTCAACTAGATCAAAAATTGTGGTTTATGCCTGAGAATTCATCTGTGCATTCCTAAGAGACCTAGAGATATTTTTGTTATAGACTTTCTAAAACCATCCATGATAAGGCATATAGTTCTCAGGAAGAGATATACTGGTTGTCTTCCTCACCACCTACTGTTATTTGTCCAAGTTCCAAAAGAATTTCTTTAGAATAAAGGAAATCTTTACTAAAAGTTTCAGGAAATCTCAAAGCCTTGCCTGAGATGGGAAATGTTTTAAGCTACGTGAAGAGAACCTGTTAATTAGAACTCATGTATGATTATCTGGCTAGAGAGGCACTAGAAGTTCTGTTCAGCTGTCATCTCTAATTGTTGTGGGTGGGTTCCAATACATTCCTGTGCCACTCCAAGCTAGCAATTTTAACAACTCAGTGTGGATGAACAAATGATCTTCTCTTCCTTTCCTCTTCTCCTTGTGGGAGTCATCTCCCTTGCGATATGTAGAATTTAAGGGTAGTAATGGGAGCATAAGAATAGATGATGGTCACTGCCTTATCCCACATCAGAATTGGTCCAGGCTTTAACTCCCAAATTTTGTTTATCATTCAGTAACTATAAAAAAGATTTATACTCATTGAGTTCCTTGACTTTTCACTTAAAAATTACTTTCATACGAAATCATACCAAACTCTAAAGTGAATGTAAAGTAATGTGACATAGTTAAACACACAAATGCATACACACTAAACACTACACACACACACACACACACACACACACACACACACTGAAAAAGGAGAAAATTCAAAACTATTTCCTTCTTATAAATTGTACAATCTCTGCAGTGCTATTTTACTTTACTGAAGCCCTTTTTCTTTATCTAAAATATGAGGATAATATATTGTACTTCACACTAGTTTTGAAGATTAAATGATTTAGTTAGTTTATATATAAAAGTGCTTTATACATTATAAAGGTCAAACAAGATGTTATGTCACTGATAGCAAATATAATGGTGTTGCAAATTTTATTATTGCAAATTTACATTTTAGATCCATGCATTGAATGAAATCCCACTATAATTTGTCTTGTTATTATATATGTATAAGACTGTACCATGTGTAAATCACATCCCCTAATATAGCTCCAAATTGAATACAAGATATTGCATAAAATGTATTTTAGCTCTGTAGTCAAAAAATCAAATGGTATTTAAGTGTACTATGTTGTTTTTTAATGGTTTTGAAACAAATTATGATTAAATAGCATGCAAGTATTCCTTTTCAGTTATTTGACCATGTGGCATGTAATTCCAGAGATATTTTAATGCTAAAGTTTATTCAAAATTTCCAGTTAAGTACTTTGATTTTATTGTAATCCTATGTGTAGTTTTCTTTTCTCCATCTATCTCCCCCGCCTTGTGTGTGTGGAGGGGGGAGAAAAAGACAGAGAGAGAGAGAGAGAATGAGAACAAGATAGAAGTGCTTGAGAAAATTATAAAATTTCAAATCATGAATTGGAATATTAAGAAAAATAAATTGGTCTTACTGTCTCCAGTATCCGATTTTTACAGTGATCCATGGCTATCCATCAGTAAAAATAGTTAAGAGCCTGGAGTTAATGGTTCATATTCCTCAATATGTGCTGATAATGACAGTTACCACTAATAGGATATCCAGACACTTCAAGGCAAGAACTGTGTAGTGTTCCTGGTTTTTGCTTGTAATCCATTTTCTTTTGCCCATGTCATACAAGCAGGGAATAAAGATGATGGGTTAACCTCCATCAAATGCCATTTTCCATGTCAACGAATCATTTAGAAGGTGGACTGATATTACATTGTAGAGGAAGTGATCCCAGAGAGAATAAAGCCCATCTGATGCATTAGTGCTATGTAAATTAGTATTCTAATGGCTAATTGTAGGAAAGTGCACACTTTGAGTTATTGTATCATTTTCAAGTGGCTTTAAAATTTAAACCCTTGTCTTTTAGATGGTTAATTTAGTAATACATTTGGATTCTACAGGAGAATCAGCTTGTCCTCAAATTATGTGTCACGTGCATGAAAATGTCCAGCCTTATTTAGTAGTACAAATTTTATAAGAGGTCAACAGCGTATTGAAATTATATTCCTGACATGCTAGCAAACATCACTCCTTTTAGAAGGAGTTTAATAACATGGTAATGTTTATGTAAAGTGGGCTTATAGTGTCACACTTGAATCTAATAAAGTGGACATCTATCATGTTGCAATAAAGAGAAGAGCTTCTAATTAAAGTAGGACATCATTTGCAGGATTAAAGTCATTTAGCGTAATTGAAAAGTGTTAATACCCTATTTTATCCTCTTCCATTGGTATTACTTCAAGGGTAAAAACATTTTAAGGTGAAAATGTGTCTTGTGCCTTTAATTGAATGTTATTACCTCCTGATTGCAACGTATTGAAACTGTTTAATTACAAACTTGGAAAATTAATTACTATATCAAGAAACAGATCCCAGAGGGTTATAATGTTCTTTTTTTGTAAGTAAATACAACATAAAAATTGATATGTCCTTATTTATAATCCAACTTGGAAACATACCTCAATATGATTTATTATACCCAAATGTTTTTTCTTAATTGAGCAACAGTAAAGCAACATAGTTCATCCAAATTAATGTTACTGCTTTCATATAAGAACTTTGGAAAGTTGTCATCGGGGTATATGTATTTAATACGAGATATAGAGTGAACTATAATAATTTTTTAAAAGAAAATAATATCATGCCATTCTTTAAGGCAACATGGACTTTTTCAGAAACATTCTACATCCCCTTTCTATTTCTAATGATTTGCTTAATCTTGCTTACATAGTAGCATTTGTTCGTAGCTCCTTTCAAAGTTGTTACAACCTTCAAAAAGCTTATAGCAGAAGTAGGTTCAGTTCTTTTGAATACCCTTAAGAGAAATTCAATTGATTTATCAAGAATTCAAAATGATCAATAGCAATTATAGCTTGCATTCTTTTATACTGTACAATTTATAAAACACATTCACAGTTAATATTGCAGGCCAGATTCTCATAATATTTTAGGAGTTGAATCAGATATGCATTATTCTGCCCATTTTACAGATGAGGAAACCATGTTTCAAAGATACTAGTACCTAACAGAAAATCAGGAGAGAATAAATGGTTGAGATAAAGATCCACTTTTTTTAAGAATACAGATAATTGTTCCTTCAACTAGAGCATGCTGACTTCTTAGAGCATGTTATTTTCATGATTTTGAAAAAGTGTCCCAGTGAAACCCACTGCGTGCCACTTAAACATTTCTGTACCATATATTTTTAAATTTATGTATTTTCTTTTTCCTATCATATTCTTAAAATTGTAGTAGTTATTGTTAAAATAATCGTTGTTCCAAGTGGGAAAAGAATGTTGATGAGATTGTGTTTGCTTCCACAGAACCTACTTTTCCCAAACCAACCCCAGCAGCCCAACAGTAGACACTCAGTGTCACCAACTGGAGACCTCACGATCACCAACATTCAGCGTTCGGACGCCGGTTACTACATCTGCCAGGCCTTAACTGTGGCAGGAAGCATTTTAGCAAAAGCTCAACTGGAAGTTACTGATGGTGCGCTATTATTATAGATTTGTCTTATGAAAATAATGATTTTTATTTCAAGATACACATTAACCATGTGGAGTTTTCTGATTTTTTAAATCATTTCGATAAGTGCCTATCTTCGAAGTTAGAATTTAGATTAAAGTAACATTTCTTAATAGTTTCTCATTCTCCCCAATTTAATACCACTTATTTTTCCAAAGAAGAACATCAGAGGCAATTTATTTAATTCTTAAAAAATGTAATGATGGGCCTGGAGCTGTGACTCATGGCTGTAATCCTAGCACTTTGGGAGGCCAAAGCAGGAGGATCACTCGAGGCTAGGAGTTTGAGACCAGCCTGGACAACATAGTGAGACCCTATTACTACAAAAATAGAAAAAAGTAGCTGGCTTGGTGGCAAACACCTGTAGTCCCTACTTGGGAGGTTGAGGCAAGGGATCACTTGAGCCCAGGAGTTTGAGGTTGCAGTGAGCTATGATGATGCCACTGTACTCTAGCTGGGGCAATAGTGTGAGATCCTGTTTAAAAAAATAGTAATGATGATGCCTTATTTTAAAGAAATGACATCACACTTACTGCATATAGAAATGCAATCTGTATATTTTTATGTAATCTTACACTGACATGATTGCTTCTAATAGACACTAACAATTTTATTTTACTCTAGGAGGAGATATCACTTTTAGTATTATCAGTGAAACAAGATGAGTGTTTGGTTAGTTTATCACATTAGGATATTCCTATGACTTTAATTATACATGCACTAAGTTAAATTAATTAAATACTTTCCAAAGTACTGATGAATGCTAAAATTATTATGCTTATGTCTACATATAATTTTACATCTTAACTGGGGCACCTACATTGTGAGGGGTTTAGTTTTTGTCTGTTTTTTTTTCCCCCCAGTGCTGGCTTCTGAGATGTAAGAGCTATGATCTGTGGTCTCTTCGATTCTCTTTTTTCTCTGCTGGTGAAATTCGACGTGCTTTCATACAATTCAAATTTACATGTAGATTAAAAGGTCATTTAAAATTAATAGAAAGGCAGTATTTTTAAAAATCTGCCCATGATATGACCTGATTCAGTGACATGTCAGGAATGGAAATAAATAGGACAAACATTGGCTGCTGGGACATTGAGTCATTAATGGCTGCACCTGCTGATGGTGCAGAGATTTACAGCCATGGAACTGAAAGAAGAAGTCAGGTTCAAGGGTAGCAGTGATGAGAAATTCTCCCTTAGATGGACAAGATCTTTGATTCTTCATACGTCCATATTTCTTTAAAAGAATAAATGATAATTATTGATCATTTTAAAGATCTTATATTTTCTACTATCAGCAAAAATGTCCAAATATATATACTTGAAAAATAAGATATTCTGGACAAAGCCTAAGTTTTATTTTGTATTACTATAAAACATTCCGAGCTTAAGATATCTGCTATAATCTAGCTATTTATAGAATTTTACGAAACACTAACTCTAAAATGTTTCTAGATGAAAAAATTGTTATTGAAAAGGCAAATGATATTTGTAAAAAACAAAAGTGGTACATTAAAACAGCCAGTTGATATGACTGAAATGGTTTATGAAACAGATGGATATTCAGAATTATGTCTGATGAAATAAAAAGGAAAACTTTGGAGAACTTATGTTAGTTGATGATATCTCACAAAACAGACATTATTCTAGCTTTGTTTCTGAGATCAAAATTTAAAAAGTGATAACCAAGCTTAAATTTTCTGCTAACTGACCACTTTGTTACAATTGGCTTGAATTTTACTTCCTACATTGATTTTTACTTAAATAAGCGATTACAAAATCAAGATTCTTTTGCAGAAACATTGAATGAAGATTATAGAGTTGTTGGTTTCACAGTAAAGAAATCAAACTACGAGAACTCAATATTAAGGTTATTAAGTATGAAATGTCTGATTTCCTTAAGTACTAAGTTTGACAGTTAATATCTCTGATATTTCACTTTGACACTTGTTTTGTTTTTATTGTGAAGGTACATACTCAGTCTTTCAAACGCATGGTTTGGTTTGTAATTATCTTTCAATTTTTTTAGAGCAATTTTTGTGAAATCATGGATAAGTCAAAAACTCATATTATTTTCAAATATGAGTTCTGTCATGGAACCAATGCAGCACAGACAGCTCGAAATATCAACAAAGTGTTAGGGAAGGATGTGACTAATGAAAGCACGGTACATCGATGGTTTGAGAAGTTCCATTCTGGTGATTTTAACACATTGACTGCCACACTAGAAAAAAAAAATTTTTCATTGTGGCTACGGTGGTTTATTACATAAATAGAATAAAAATTTTGAAAACAAAATGATCCTTTCTAATTTAATGAAAAATGTTATTTATTTATTTATTTATTTTTTGAGACAGAGTCTCACTGTGTTGCCCGGGCTAGAGTGAGTGCCGTGGCGTCAGCCTCGCTCACAGCAACCTCAAACTCCTGGGCTCAAGCGATCCTTCTGCCTCAGCCTCCCGAGTAGCTGGGACTACAGGCATGCGCCACCATGCCTGGCTAATTTTTTTCTATATATTTTTAGTTGTCCAATTAATTTCTTTCTATTTTTAGTAGAGACGGGGTCTCGCTCTTGCTCAGGCTGGTTTCGAACTCCTGAGCTCAAACAATCCGCCCGCCTCTGCCTCCCAGAAAGCTAGGATTACAGGAGTGAACCACCGTGCCCGGCCAAAAATCTTAATGTTTTCTCTGTGTATGCAACTTGAAAAATAGTTCACGCAGCTCCCAAGGTAAAGAGACATGTGAGTTACATGTGCTTCACGAGACTCAAAACCAGAGTAAGCTAAATACAACTCATATGGCAGTTAATGTGTTAATCTTGAAAATGAGTCCTGTGGGCGATCTGAGACCAAGGGGATAATAATGAGCTGAAAGTTGTAGTGGAACCAAATCCATCTCAACCTACACATGAATTAACAGCAAGGTTTGACATTACTATTCCAACAATATTGAACCTTTTAAAACAAATCAGCAAGGTAAAGAAGCTGGGTAGATGGGTTCTGCATGAGTTAAAGAAGCCCCAGAAGAGAAATCATCTTGAAGCTTCCCTTTCTTTGTCGTCATGACATAAAGGTGAACCATTTGTACACTGTATTGTTACATGTGACGAAAATGGATTCTTTTTGACAATTGCAAGTATTCAGCACAATGGTTGGATAAAGATGAAGTGCTGAAACACAGCCAAAACCTAATATTCATCAAAAAAAAAAAGCTAATGCTGTCTATTTGGTTGTCCAGTGTTGCTATTATCCACTACAGCTTCATGAAACCTGCTAAATTGATTACAGTGGTTGTCTACTGCAACCAATTGGATGAAATGATGAGGATGCTTGGATTAAGCAGCCGAGAATGGCCAATAGAAATAGGTCAATCTTCCTGCAAGACAACACTTGACCACCTGTTGCACAAACAATGCTGCTTAAAGCTACAGCAGCTGGACTTGGAAACTCTCTGTCATCCACTGAATTCACCAGACCTTGTGCCAACTGACTGCCACTTCTTCCAGGCTTTGGACCACTTCTTGCAAGGAAAAATATTCAGTTCTTAACAAACTGTGGAAAATGCCCTTTGTAATTTCATGGCCACTAGTTCTCCAGGGTGCGTTGCTGCTGACATAAACAAGCTACCGTTAAGATGGCACAACTGTGTCGATAGTTTAGGTGCATATTTTGATTAATTGTACTGCTTCTTGTTTGAAATACAATAAACTACACTTTTGATTCAAAATCAGACCTTTCATATTTAATGACATATATATATGCACACATATAAACACACATATTGTAAATAACTGTCTCTAAATATTAAGTTGCCACATATTGCATGATGACTTAGCTTCTATTCATAGTTTTGATTTTTGAGATTGGTTAATGACAATAAGTGAAACATTATTTTCATTTTGAACATGTATATTGTAGTGTGATACAGGACATTTCAGAGCCAATTGAATTCCATTGTAGAATGAAAACATACGTTCAGAGAAACAAATGATCCTAGGCATACCTTGTTTTACTGCATTTAGTCTTATTGTGCTTTACAGATAATCACATTTTTGTAAAACCTTGAAGGTTTGTGGCAACCCTGATAAAGAAGTTTATCAGTGCCATTTTTCCAACAGCATGTGCTCATTTCAGATCTCTGTGTTACATTTTGGTAATTCTCATAATACTTCAAGCTATTTAATTATCATTATATTTGTTATGGTGATCTGTGATTGATGGTTTTTAATGTTACCGTTGTAATTGTTTTGGGGTGCCCCAAACTGCACCTGTATGAGACAGTGAACTTAATGAATAAATGTTGTGTATTCTGACTTCTCCACTGACTGGCCCTTCCCCCACCTCTCTCCCTCTCTTTGGGCCTCCCTATTTCCTAAGACACAACAATATTGAATTTAGGCCAATTAATAACCTCATGACGACCTCTAAGTGTTCAAGTGAGACTCTCATTTTAAATAAAAAGCTAGAATTGACTAAGCTTAGTGAGGAAGGCCCATCAAAAGCTGAGATAGGCCAAAAGCTAGGCCCCTTGTGCCAAGCAGTTAACCAAGTTGCGAACACAAAGGAACAATTTTTGAAGAAAGTTAAAAGTGCTACTCCAGTGAAAACATAAATGATAGGAAAGTGAAACAGATTCAGTGCTGATATGGAAAAAGTTTTAGTCTGGATCAGAGATCAACTAGTCACAACAGCCCCTTAAGCCAAAGCCTCATCCAGAATGTGACCCTCTTTTCAATTCAATGAAGGCTGACAGAGGTGAGGAAGCTGCAGAAACAATGTTTGAAGCTAGCAAAGGTTAGCTCATAAGGTTTAAGGAAAGAAGCCATCTTCATATGTAAAAGAGTAAGGTAAGGCATCAAGGGCTGATGTAGAAGCTGCAGCAATTTATCCAGAAGATCTAGCTAAGATCATTGATGAGGTTGGCTACACTAAATAATAGATTTTCAATGTAGACAAAGCAGCCTTGTTTTGGAAGAAGACTCCATCTAGGACTTTCATAGCTAAAGAGAAGTCAGTGCCTGGCTTCAGAGCTTCAAAAACCAGGGATGACTCTCTTGTTAGAGGCTAATGCCTTGTTAGAGGTGACTTTAAGTTGAAGACAATGCTCATTTATCATTCTAAAAATTCTAGGGCTCTTAACAATTATGCTAAATCTACTCCACCTGTGCTCTATAAATGGAACAACAATGCCTGAATGACAGCATAACTGTTTACAGTGTGGTTTACCGAGTATTTCAAGTTCACTGTTAAGACTATTGCTCAGAAGAAAAGTTGTTTCAAAATATTGCTGCTGCTTTACAATGTACCTGATCACCCAAGAGCTCTAATGGAGATGTACAAAGAAATTAATGTTTTCATACCTGTTAACCCAACATTCATGTGCAACCCATGGATCAAGGAGTAATTTTGACTTTCAAGTCTTATTATTTAAGAAATACATTTTGTAAGACTAAAGCTGCCATAGATAGTGATTCACCTGATGAATCTGTGCAAAGTAAATTGAAAACCATCTGGAATGGATTCACCATTCTAGATGCTATTAAGAATGTTCATGATTCATGGAAGGAGAACAAAATATCAACATTAACAAGAGTTTGGAAGAAGTTGATTCCAACCCTCATGGATGACTTTGTAGGGTTCAAGACTTCAAAGGTGAAAATAACTACATATGTAGTAGAAATAGGAAAAGAACTAGAATTCGAATTGGAGCCTCGAGATCTGACTGAATTGTTGCAATCTTATGATAAAAACTTGAACAAATGAAGAGTTCTTTCTGATGGAAGAGCAAAGAGAGTGGTTTCTTGAGATGGAATGTACTCCTGGAGAAGATGTCATGAATATTGTTGAAATGATAGTAAAACATTCAGAATATTACATAAACTTAGTTGATAAAGCAGCAACAGGGTTTTAGAGGCTTGTCTCCAACATTGAAAGAAGTTCTGCAGGTAAAACGCTATCAAACAGCCCTGCTTGCTACAGAGAAATCTTTTGTGAAAGAAGTGTCAATTGATGTGGTAAGCTTTACCGCTGTCTTGTTTTAAGAAATTGGCACAGCCACATCAGCCTTCAGCAACCACCATCCTGATCAGTCAGCAGCCATCAACATCAAGGCAAGACCCAACATCAGCAAAAAAATTAGGACTTATTGAAGGCTTATATGATCATTAGCTTTCTTTGTCAATGAAATATTTTTAAATTAAGGTATGTACATTGTTTTTTGATGCTATTGTACACTTAATAGACTGTAGCATAGTATATAACATAAGTTTTATATGCACTGGGAACCCCAAAATTTGTGTCCTCATTGTTTTGCAATATTTGCTTTATTTTGTTGGTCTTGTACCAAACCTGCAACACCTTCGAGGTAAACCTGAATTCCATCTCTATTGATGTTTCTGTTGTTACATTTTTGCACTTGGACTCGTTTGCTGGAAATATTTTGAATTCAAGTGTTCATATAAAATGAAATTGCTAATGGTGATGAAAGATGGCATATTGCATGGTAATTTTACTGATCATAGATTGAGCTAAGATGTTCCAATACACATGAGTTTCAAAATATTTCTTTAAAAGACATTTTTATTATTACACTGTCACTGTTCTTTCTTTTTCTTTTCTTCTGCTGTGTCTTTTTCTTTTAGAAAATTAGAAAATCATAATGAGATTACTGTGAGTAGAAGAAATAGAATCTAAAAAGACTGGGCAGATGAAATGTATTTTTATCTTATATTGACAATAAATGCCACATCATGATCTTATATAAATGGTTTATTGAGGATTTATAATGTATAGTTAGAGAACACCATGGAGTTGTTCGCA